TCCTTGCGCACGTTTGGATCCTGTTTGTGCCAAACCTCTGTGGTTTCGGATCATTTTTGTATCGGGGAAGCATCGGAATTTTAAGTTTATAAATTCTCTGAAAAGAAAAAGTAGCTGTCGAAAATCCTACAAATGTAGCAATGGCACCGAGGGTGGGGGGGGGGGGGGGGGGGGGTCCTTTTGCATTTTGAAGTGTTATATCAAATGGTTCACCCACCGGCCCTTTAAACAGACACGGAAGTCGACCACTTACCACATCTGTAGTGCATAACAAGATAACTTGTGAAACCCGTAACAACTGAACACCGACTGCAGTCATCAGGAGCTTCACAACTGGGGCTGTGTATTGCAGTTGTTGCTGAGCACAGTAAAGGACTCTTCAACATTTGACTGGGTCAGGAACGCTAAACTACAGCATTGGCTCTAAACAAAAGTATGTATTGTGAGGTTTTAAACTGTTCGGGTTTATTTTTAAAATGTTATAGCGCTGGCTATAGAGAGCTTTTCATTTCTGGAACCGAAAGTTCAAACACAATTTTCTTTTCGTGTTTTAATACACAGTTATATATATATGTTTATATATTATATATGTGTGTACTGTATTACACGAGTTATAGCGTTCCTAATACTGAGAATATACACCCGTGCAGTCTCACTTATGGAAAAGATAGCAAAAAAAAGTATAATACGAATTAACTGTAGTCATTATCAAACACAGTGGATTTCTTATTGGCTCTTCACCCCTTGCAATTATGTCTGCAGCGAAAGGACGAATAATACACTAAAATGGCATCTATATATATATATATACATTGCTAATAGAAATGAGACCACGCCTCTGTCTGGACCTGGAGGTCACGAAAAAAGACTCTTGTTTCTTATGGCAACGTCTAAATATATCGCCCACATTGTTTTAATAAGTTGAAAAAGTCTCCTGAATGCCACCCGCTCGTTGTCAGGGGATTGATGGGCAGCACAACCAGTCGGGATGTGAATCCCCGTAATTATTTGTGAAACTCCTGAAGTGCATTATTGTCTCTTTTTTTGTTCCACTGGTACAGCAATTAGTTACCATAGCATCTGATACGTAAATGTGCCCAGAGCACACCATTAACAGTTAAACGGGGGATTCAATTTAACACATGATTATATCTTTCATAAGTCATTACATTATGAAAGTCAATGTCACTCACGCTGGGATAACCATACGATTAGAGTCGCTCTCGACTTGGGTGTAAATTCTCGTCGGAATAAGAAGCACGTTTAAATATTTTTAGGATGCAAATGAAACAAAAAAAAATGAAAGTAACAAAAGCACAACCCTGGCGAGATACGTCCAGACATAACGGTCTCCATACATCACAATAATCTATTAATCCAGCTGTTTCTTCAAACATTCCCTTGAGTCTGGGCGTGTGGACATATTCTAAAACTATTAAAAGTGTTATTTATTTTAAACACACAGACACACACACAGACACAGAATAGTTTGGAGGGGGGGGGGGGGTTAAAAGGTCCGGGGAACAGGCTCAGATTTTAAGAAAGATCTCAAGAGAACAGATGTCGACACTTGACAAGATGATAGCAGGTTTTATGTTTTACTGAACACTATCTAAAGGAAATGCGGTTTTGCATCAATCTGCGCGGCGTTTGTAATTTAGAGATCATCATCATTTTGGTGAAGAGGATAACGGCTATTTAATTCAACATCAGCCGTAGCTGTTTTCACGAAGCACTGAGAGATTTTCCACATTATTGCCTCCTCGTTACCTATTTCAATTCCCCTGGGGTACTCGCCGATATACATGTAATTACCAGTGAAACACAAGGATTTATCATCACTCACAGCCTTTGTCAGTCCAATCAGTGCTGTTAATATCTGAATACAGCAACACGCGCGCCTCATCCAACGCTACATTTAACTTGCACTGTTTTGCATCGATTTGGGGAAAAAAAATCGATTAATTTTCCACCGCCGTCGCAAATAGCAGTAACGATACGTCTTTGCAAATATATTATATATATATATTTTTTAAAAAAGCGTCAAGCTAAAGGCGCGGACACTTGCAGAATAAAATTGAACGCCCTCCTCTCGCAAGGATTCTGCTCATATCATCTTTGCATGAAGTGAGCGGAATAATGCGCCAATTATTCAAAGCGAGCCACGGCAAATAAATAATAGGCAGCAAATCTTCCTTCAAAAATGTCCAATTACCTTATTATGCAAAAAAGTGCGGTGGGTGTGAATAATTCGATATCAGAGTGATGGGCAGCAGAGAAAGAACAATATGAGGTAATGGTAGTGTTGCTCCTTACTTAAAGGCAGTGTTGTGCCTTTGATTAAAGACACCCAATTATAGCAATGAACAGTGTCGCAATTATGTTCCTTAATCACATCCAGGAGGTTTAATTGCCTTAACGATGTGTTTCATTAAATGAATTTAGGTATTATAGTCGACAGTTTTCATACACAGTTGTTTTCAAATTAACATAATATTAGACATCGTCATGGAAATTGTTTTAATAATCATAATTAGGTGCGCCGAGGCTTTGTAATCTAATGCTGAGAGACATTGCATTTGGCCTCCGGGCGAGTGAACCCTTCTGTGTCGGCTGCTGTGCTCTTGCTTTGTGGCACAGATAGTTATGTTTCCTGAAAAGTTACAGGTTCTGATTAATCTTTTGATAGTAAGTGGAGCAGAAACTATTCATTCCAGTTCTACCACGTTCAGCCTCATCTAGAACATATGGTTGGGGACTGGGGATAAACAGATATGTTGAATATTAAAACAGTAGAGACAACAATCACGTTAAATCCTGTCAACCGGTCCCACTGTTTACCGTTTATATATTATACAGATATATAATAATCCATTTGTGGTGTCCTCAATGGTCCCGCATAGCAAAGGATAAATACAAGGACTATTCCAGTCCAGTGTTTAAACCTGATAGCCGGTACTAAGGCGCGTTGAAATGATTCAAGAAATTGCAGACAAAAAGGAATTATGCAATTCAAGCGAAAGAATACATTTCAAGGTCCATGCCATATGCTGTTATTCAACATATTGCTCAGTCACGCCTTCCAATATTTTTGCATTTAAAGATGCTCTTTTTTGTTTAAAGAAATGAAAGTTTGCAAACGATCTGAGATGCTTCAAGCTTTGTTCTGTCTCATCGACAGAACCTATTAGTTTCCCTAATTTATCTGCCTCTTGAATACGTGATGTGCCAATTTCTTCAGCGGTTTTCCCATCCGTGACAACCAACGTCCCTAACACGTCCACGCCAAACAAAAAAGGCCAATCTAAACAACATAACAGGCATTTAAACTTTCACATAACCTTTTGTTACTTATTCTACTTCTTTTTTTAAAAAAAAATCGCTTGCAAGGCAGAAATTGAATCCATGTCGTTTGTTCAAAATATGTTTAATAAATTTTCCTTCCAACACGGATAACACGTACAAATAATGGTCTATGCATTATACTCATGGTCAGACTTAGACACCATCACTCTCATACATCATAACTTGCCATCACGCCCTTTAAGGGTTACGTTGACACCGACTTGTCAGCCAGAGTTCGCACAAACTGCAAATCAAACATACAAACAGCAGTAAAACATTGCAAGTCCGCTTTATACATACTTTATGATATATTTATATATATATTGCAGATGGACAGGCACTGTGCCGTCATGCAAACGAAAAGCTCACTTTGGGCAAATAGCATATTCGTCATAAGAAACGTAACAAAAATATTTTAACACATCTTAATCTGTACAGATTACCTGAAACACAAACCAAACTGCGTAATGTTATAGTATCATAATAAAACCCATTTTTTCTCTATAAAAACCCAACTCAGATCATCCACACAACTAAGAAATAAACTGACATCTATAATGCCTTTGTCACACAAAAACATAATTGATCTCCACCACCTCTCTCCCTCTCTCTCCCTCTCCCTCTCTCCCTCTCCCTCTCTCTCTCGGATTGCGACAAACCTCTTGGAAGTAAACAGAAAAAGACAAGTTTCGTGACCGTTTGCAACTCTATTTATCTGCTCCGAGAACAGTTTTGGAGAGAGCGGTTTTCGAATCAGACACTGTTTTCTTTTTAACGACTGCAGTCTGGACTTCAAGTTGATAGCTTTTTTTTGTTAAAAAATAAAATCCGTGGATGAAGCGAATATTTGTTTTTAAAAAACATCCATAAGTACCGGAGCGACTGACACTGGAAATGGAACTTGTGTAATGAACAAATATTGTTGATGCCGATTTGATCAGAGACCACCTCTTCCCCCAAATAATACTAATAATTAAAAAATCCCTCTTCCTTAGTCGAAAACAACATTTTTTTTAGATTCCCTCTGAATTCCTCGCACCAACTCCCCCCCCCAACCCCCCACCCCCACCCCCTCCGCCCCCAATAACCTCTATGTACAGAGAAACAGTCACTTTCAGCTTTCAGACGCAACAACCTTCAAACCACAAGAAAAAAGTCTTTGCTATAAAAGTGAGTTTTTCCTCTCTCTTTTTTTTCCGCGTGTTGTTGATGTGTTGTTTTTTTCTCTCTCCCTTTGCATTTCTCTTTCTCTCTCTCTCTCTCTTCTTCTTTTCTTTTGTTGTGTGTGGGATGGTCTGTGTGTGTGTGTGTGAGAGAGAGAGAGAGTGAAGAGGGTGGTGGTGATGGAGGAGGTGGTGGTGATGGTGGTGGGGGGATGGAGGTGGTGGTGGTGGGGGGGGGGATGGAGGTGGTGGTGGTGGTGATGGTGGTGGGTGGGGTGGGGGGGGATGGAGGTGGTGGTGATGGTGATGGTGGTGGTGGGGGGGGGATGGAGGTGGTGGTGGATGGTGATGGTGGTGGTGGGGGGGGGATGGAGGTGGTGGTGATGGTGGTGGTGGTGGGGGGATGGAGGTGGTGGTGGTGGTGGTGGGGGGGGATGGAGGTGGTGGTGGGGGTGGGGTGGGGGGGGGGGGGGGTGTTGTTGTGCTGTTATTTTAAGGCTTGTCACTGCACTGTTTGCACAGACTGGACGACACGTTGTTGTAAAGAGCGGCGGCTGCGGCGGCCGCGCACTTCTCCGGACAGCTCGCGGCGGCCGCGGCGGCCAGTGCCCCGGCGGTGAACTGATAGCCCCCCCCGGTAGCCGCCGCCGCCGCCGCCGCCGCCGCTTGATCGTAGCCCCCCATGGCCGGGGTGAGGGCTGCGGAGGGCGGCAGCGACGCCGGCATGGCCTGGCCTTGGTTCAGATACGACACCAGCCTCCTCATCTCCTCCAGCGCCTGCGCCTGCATCAGGATGTAGTTCTTGGCGAGCAGCAGCGTGGCGATCTTGGAGAGCTTCCTCACCGAGGGGCTGTGCGCGTAGGGGATCACCGCCCTCAGCTCGTCCAGCGCGTCGTTTAAATCGTGCATCCTCCTCCTCTCCCGGGCGTTGATGCTCAGCCTCAGGGCTCGCTGCTCCTTGTTCTTCTTGCCCCCCGGGATGTCGATCTTGCTCAGCCCGGCCAGGGCCAGCGCGCCCCTCTCCGCCCGCTCCGACGCCCTCTCCGGGTGCATGAGCATCATGTCGCACCGCTCGTCGCTGTCATCGTCCAGGCTCTGCTCTCCGCCGCTGCTCTCCCGGCAGGAGGTCACGACCACATGATTGCCCCCGTATTTCCCGCAGACGGTGCCCGCTTGCAGCCCTCCTCTGTCACCCCCTCCTCCTCCTCCTCCTCCTCCCCCGCCTTCCCCTGTCGCCTGGTGATGGGCAGAATCGGAATCCGTCTGATCGAAGCAGGCGATCGGCGACTGGGGATCTCGCAACGACAGATCGATACCGTCAGGCGGTCGGAAAGTACCGTCCAGCCGCTTGGCTGAGGCGCTCAGAGTTTTGTGATACAGGTCCTCGGTTGGCAGGTCATTAAGGTTAACGCTTCTCTCCATTCTCGGCAGATCAAGTCCTTTTGCTGTGGGTTTGGGTGTTGTTGTTTCATAAACTATCCTGGTTTTTTTTTTTGA